TATTTCAGCCAGCATGAAGTTGGCGACGAAATAGAAGTTAGACGTCATGTTGAAATGTATTGGATTCATAACTTTGACAGCTAAAACCTGTCAAGATCATTATTATCACAGCCAAACAGGAGCCACTAGGAGCCACTAAATTCTGATACATGACAGATGGGTTTTGACCATAGACCTTATACAATACATGGACTGCTAGTTGAGCGTATAAAAAGTGTCAAAAGATGTTCTATGATATGAGGGCATACGAGGGTAATTTTGCGGCCGAGATATGTCAAATACGAACACGAGCTTTACCGAGATTATTCGAATGCACTCGATCGCTTAAATTTTACAGTTACTTGGGTTCACGTGATGTTTGATCGCTCGGGTTTTTAAACTAAAAGAGGATAAAAATATACCTGTTATAAGATTGTTAAAAGTAAAATGTCTTCTAAAATGTGTTTGGTCTGTGGTAAAGTTCCTGATTGCAGTAAAACCTGTTCTGAATGCTTCGCAAGTATTCCGGGAAATTCGACATTCATCGATATAAAAAATCGAGGATATCTTTCATATCCTTCCAATGCAATGTTTAAATTATGTTTATATATAGAAACCCAAATTCCAAATTCTTTAAATTTAATGTACAAAAGTTCATATGAAAGCACGATTCTCCGAAAGTTGAATGACTTGGGACTTGCACATTTTTTTAGATCAAGCCATTTCCAGCAATTTGTCCAGCACTATCATGACCTTATCAACTTTGTCGCAAAAATGTATTTAACAATTAGAATGCACCATGAAGAACATAAAAAAAGCAAAGTTGATAAATATGTACGCCACTTTCACACAAAAATTGTGCTTTTTAAACATCAATAACAAATATATTGCATTTAAACAAATATTTCATTATTGCTTTCTAATTTCCCATAATAGCTCTAGCCAACTGTTCTTATTTTCAGTGAATTTTATAATACGTAAATATTTTTTAATTTTTTTTTATTTTTCTTAAACACTTTGTATAACTAAAATAAATAAATAAATATATAATAATTCATTACATTCATTAGTTTAACATAAATTGTATATTATATAATATTTTCCCAACAATTTCGAACACAAGGACTTTCATTTGACGTTCAAGTGATCGAGTTTGACATATCTCGGCCGCAAAACTACCCTCGTTTGCCCTCATACCATAGAACATCTTTTGACACTTTTTTACTTGAGAAATGTATGGGGATTAGCAGTCCATGAAATTGTATAAGGTCTATGGTTTTGACGTTTAAAAAGCACCTACGCTCTGAAGTTGGCTCCGGGATAGAGCATAACCTGTCATTTCGTGGAATATTTAGTCCCGCGTTCTTTTCTCATTTTTGTCGCGTCGCGTCGGTTTCGTTTCAAGTAAGCGTTTTATTATATTTTCTGCTTTTTCTTTTCGTGTAATTAGAATTCTTTCGTTCTGTTGCTATTTCTAATTCTATTATTTTTTTTATTTGTTTATAACAGTTTTTTTCACATATTTCGGTTCGGTTTTTCGTTTTTTTGCTCTGGATCGCTTTCCTTGCGTTGCTTTTTTTGCTCTAGTAAGCCTCTTATTATAATTCATGCTTATTTTTCATATTTCATAGTTACAATAAGTGTTTTTTAGGATTTTTTACTTTTTAGTTTAGTTACGTGTTTTTTTAGATTTTTACTTAGCTTGCGTAAGTTTATTTTTCGTTTCATATTTTTACTATTTAGATACTTACTTTTATTTCACTTCAGGTTACATTCTATTTTATAAGCTTATTTTTAGATTTTGTTCATTTGCATTAGGTTACATTCTATTTTATAAGCTTATTTTTAGATTTTGCTCATTTAAGTTTATATTTAGTTTAGAATTAATATCATTTAGATACTCACTTTATATATTACTTTTTCGCTTCTAATTTTCTTTACATTTATTACGATACGTTTTATTACCTTCATTACTTATATTTTATATTTCACTTTATTACTTTACTTATGTGACAACATGGACAGCGACTTTTTCTGTACCGAGTGTCAGATTCCATTCACTGCTCGTAGCTCCTTGTATCGCCACATGAGACAAAAACATGACAAAGAGCCAAGAGCTGTTTATCCCAATGCGTGTGCTTTCTGCCTTAAAACTTTTAAATTTAAATATTTATTAACTCATCATGTGAGCCAAGTTCATAATAATATCCCTAACCCTTCACTTGCCCAATCTTCTTCGGTATCTTTTGAAGACATTACACACTTTCCTCCTCCACTAAAACAAATATAAAGCATCCTTCTTTACCCACCTCATATACTACTACATGTTTGACATCACCTTACAATTTACTTTCACCCACATCAGATCCTCTTCACAAACATCCCCACGTAAGTTTATCGCCGCATCCTTGCACTTCCTCTATTAAAGTTCAAATTCACACGCCTCCCACTCCCAGTTCCCCAATCAGTTCTAAGGAAAATTTTACAGGTATGTAGTGCTTTTATATATGTACATTCATTTTATTTATTATTGTGTTACATATAAATCATTTTTGTAGGTACACCATCAACAAAAGAGAAACTAAGATGTCCACTTTCTGCTTGCTCATCTTTTATCTCTGCTCCTTCCATATCAGATCGTCTTCACAAACATTTCCACGTAAGTTTATCGCCACATCCTTGTACTTCCTCTACTAAAGTTCAAATTCACACGCCTCCCATTCCCAGTTCCCCAATCAGTACTAAGGAAAATTTTATAGGTATGTAGTGCTTTTATATATGTACATTCATCTTATTTATTATTGTGTTACATATAAATCATTTTTGTAGGTACACCATCAAGGAAATCCAGAATAAGATGTCCACTCCCTCCCTGCTCCTCTGTTTTTTTCTAGGTACACAGGTTTATACGATCATATTGAGTTTTATCACAAAAACTACAATTGATTATGAACAGTTTGTGTTTCAAAACATTAAAGGTTTGAAGTCTTCTCTCTCATAATTTATAACCCTAATTACACAATTACCTACATTTTTGACTTTGTAGATTTTGAATTGTGGAAAACAGACATAGAGCGGAAGGAGTTTTCGCATTATGTAAAATGCAATTCAGGATATAAATCAAAAACTGATGACAAGACAATTTATTTCGATTGCCACAGGTCATATACATATGACCAAAAACCCACTGTACGCTTGTTTACTAAAACGAGCAACAAAACCGGATATGCTTGCCCATCAAGGATTAGTTGTACTATTAATCACAATGGAACAGTTCATGTTGAATTTTGGAAGACACATATGGGACACAGTCAAGATATAAAATTTATTTCGTTAGATAAGAGCCTGAAAGAACATATCAAGGGTAAATTTTTAATTGACTTGTATGATTATAAAACTAAATACATTTTTGTTTTATTAATAACTTCTACAAAAAATACGGTTTTTCGGTTGGTGGAAGTTATATAACAAGGTTTCTGTCCATCTTCCATTTAAATTTTAAAATTCAGTTTTCATTTATTGTTCGGTTTAACTTTGGTTTGGCTAATCATTTCTTCAAAATGCAATTCTTTTCTCTTTTTTATGTTTAATTTCAATGTTTATATTTATTCTATATTATTTATATTTATTCTATGTTATTTATATTTATTCTATATTATTTATTACATGTTTCCTGTGACATGCTTTATATTGTAAATAGTATGTGTATATATTTTGAATAAAAATATTTGATGAAATAGATGGTTTTAATTGTGTTTCTTATTACCTATGTTAATCATTGTTAGAAAAAGTAATCAGATCACTTAAAGATAAAAATAGGCAAAAATATCGGACTGAACTTAAGTTTATTACATTACTATACATATGCTAGCATGATAATATATATATATAATATATATTATATACATCCATACATATGAGTTAAGTTCTAATAATCAGATGTTACATGCTACAAGACTCTTGTAGCTATTT